GCTAAACCTAAGATGATTTTCCTAAAAAACTCAATTTTCAAACTCACACCTTTTAAGTCAAAAACTTCGGCACTAGGTCCTCGTATCTTCAAAATATTGTCCAAACAAATCATTTTTAACCAACCCAACCATTTTTAGCCTAACGAACTATTTTAATCAAACAAACAATTTTAAACTAAAAAACAGATATTTCATCGCATAACCAATCCCCGAACTCTAGATCTCTTTTCAAAAAACACATTGTATTTTCATTACTTTTAAGTATTATTTTACATTGCATATTTTAGGGTTTTATTTCGCTCTTTTCCCTTTTCCTTTGGAAATAATAAAGTGCGGTGGCGACTCTTGCTTTTGCGAGTCGAGCTAATTAATAGATTGATCTCTGATTTACCTCGCTACATTTTTTATCGCTACACTGGGCTTCAGAAATAAAATGTGCCTCTAGGAGGCCTTTTACAGCTAATTCAGCAGCGTGTGACTTCTTAGTTGACTGCTTTTTTCTGTACTGCGCGACCGCCTTGATGGTGGGATCAATGGTCAGGTGATGGCATGCGACCTCGGGGTCTAAACCGGGCATCTCGGCCGCACTCCAGGCAAAGAGATCATCATTCTCCCGCAGATAAGCTTTGAGTTTCCTTTTAGCCAGGTCGGGGAGGTCCGCTCCGATCTTTACTCCCCTGGTGGGGTCTTCTCCGAGGGGAACCAGCTCGAAGTCGCCATCCGGGATGGGTCGTGCGTGACTAGAGAGCTCGTTGTGGCCAGCATAGGAGGTTGACCTTTCGTCTTCGACCATAGGCTCCTTCCCTTTCCTCCTTTGCTTGACCCTATCCTCCACGGAGAAGCGATTGTCGAGGTCAATGGTGTCGACCCTTGATAATGGCCTGGATTCTTCGGAGCTGGAGAGCAGCGTGGCTCGAGTGGCTGTTCGAGGCTGAGCATCGATGGAGCTGAGGCCTTTTGCAGAAGCTTCGAAGCATCTCCTGGCTGCTTGGATGTCTCCGTGAAGAGTGGCGATCAAACATTCGACCGTGTAGTATTTCATCTTGAGATGAACGGTGGAGGGGACTGCAATGAGCTCGGCGAGAGTGGGTCTCCCGAAGATGCATTGGTAGAGGGACGGGAAATCCACCGCCAAGAATTGGATCTTGATGGCCCAAGCCGTTACCCCCCTCCCCAAGGTGACGATCAGCTCGACATACCCCCATGGCTTCGTGTTGGCCCTGTTGAACTCTTGAAGATCAGAGCCCACATAGGGGGTTAGGTGACTCTCGTTCAGCTACAGAGTGTTGAACAGTTGGGCGTACATAATGTCAACCAAATTGTCCTGGTCGACCAAAATGCGACGCACATCAAAGTTGGCCCCGAGCTCTCACGAGTAGTGGGATGCTCGAATTCAGGGCTACTCCCGGTAAATCTTCCCTGTAGAATGTGAGGGGGTGAGATCCTCCTAGAAACTTGTCGAGCATTGCATCCATCTCGGATTTGGCCTCCATGAGTTGGTCGAATCTTCTCTTCACTGATCTGACCGTATGTCTGTTGAGCCCTCCCCCGGAGATGACTATTGCTGCGGGGAAGGACTCCCACGGACTGTGGGTGGAGAAGTACAGGGGGCGTCTTTCATGTCTGGAAAGTAGAAGTCTTCCGACCGAGAGATGCTCAAGGCGACCGGAATGGTGTCGAGGTCGGGGGATTTCTTCCCTTCTTCGACATTCTTTGTCTCTGGTGCTTCCTCATCGGCGGCTTCCTTCTTCTTGTACTATTTTAGGTGCCCGTCTCTGATTAATATTTTGATCGCATCCTTGAGATAGATGCAATCTTTTGTGTCGTGGTCGTGACTTTTATGGAATCTGCAATACTTGCTCTTGTCGATTCCAGTCTTCGACGACGTTTGCTGGGGGAAGCGCACCCCGACTTGTTTGAACTCTGAATTGGCGCATTCGGAAAGAATACGCTCTCTTGAGGTTGTCAGGAGGGTGTAGTCGTGAAAATAACTGGCCGGCCCCTTGTAGTCTTTAGGATCACGAGACATGTCCTCTCGTTTCTTCTCCCCCCGACAGGATGTCGAGGGCTCGTCATTCTTTGAGGGTCTGGCACTCTCCCTGTGCCTGGATTCCCAGGCATTGTTAGCCGTCTCCTTCTCCTCGTACTGTATGTACGCATGGGACTTCAGGAGGAGGAAATCGAGCGTGGCTGGTGTTTCTATGCCCATAGCCTTGGAAAAGTCGCTGCGGGGACAGAGCCCGCGCTCGAGCAGGTTCTTTTTCATGTTGTCCGTTGTCGGGACCTGGACCGCTTCTTTATTGAAGCGCTCGATGTATAGGGATGTCAATGGGGCGGGGCGGGGCCGGGGGGACACTTCCCCATCTATTTCCCCGCCATCAAATTCATTCCCCGTCCCCGTCCCCGATCTCCGTCACGGGGGAATTTCTATCCCCATCCCCGTTCCCCGCGGATCCCCGTTCTCCGCAGGGATCCCCATATGGTCTAATATTTACATTTCTCTCTCTTAATAAATACATGAATATTTATTTATTTATTTTTATAAATAAACATAAAGGAAATGACTAAAAAACCTAATCTAAAATATATATATTAAATTAACTATATTAAAATAATAGGCGGGGCGGGGGGTGTATTCCCCGTCCACGTCCCCGAAATGCTCTCGGGGGAATTTTTCTCCCCATCCCCGCCCCCACGGGGGGAAATTCCCCATCTTTGGGGCCCCGAACGGGGCGTTCCCCGCGGGGATCCCCATTAACAGGTCCAAACTGACATCCCTAGTGGGCAATGTACGCTCGCAGAGATTCGTCTCTGCCTTGTATGATTTCCTCGAGGGACGCTTATGATATAGGATGTCGGTGGGAGGTAGTGAAGTGCCTTGAAAACATTTTCCTGAGCTGTTTCCACGAGGTGATGGATTCATCGGGAAAACTTTTGTACCAAGCCATCGCCCCTTTCTTGAGAGTAGTCGGGAAGAGCCTGCATTTGATGGCGCCCCGGACCCCCCTGTAGTCGAGGAGCACGTCAATATTCTCAATATGCTCGTCAGGATCCATGGTGTCGTCGTAGGTCCCTAGAGTGGGCGGCTTCTCTAGGCCGGTGGGGAGTGAAGCTTCAGTGATCTCCCGGGATAGAAGGTCGTGGGGCTCGTCATCCTCACTGTTGATGGGAGATGGAGAAGGAGATTGGTAATTTCTCCCCCGTCGGTCGTCGCAGTCCTGTCGAGGGGAGGGGCTCCTTCGCTTTTGCTTTGGCTCGGGAGAGGCAGTCGAGCGCGATCGATCTTCCTGTTGTCCTTCCTCTTGTTGAACGAAGGGGGGTCTTGATCTCGGGCAGGGGGTGTGCGATCGCGTTTCTTGAAGAAAGAAACATCGCGCCTTTCTTTCTTGGATGGTGGACCACGCCTGGGTGGTGATGCGCTGGGGGAACTCCTTCTTCGGGTCCTCCGAGGGGAAGATCTTGAACGCCTATTTTCCAAGGCTCCTATCCTCTGATTTTGTTGAAGGATAAGGGGTTGGTCTAATTCAGGGCAGCGAGCAGTGCTGCCATGGCCGAATCGATGTTGACGGGGATAGGCACCGGTTGCAAGATTTCTGGGAGTTCCTCAACAGGATTCTTGGAACGCCCTTCGTCCAAGAGTCGATTGTCTCCACGTCGGGCATCAACGGAATCAGGGGACGCAGTTTGTCCGTCACGGGGGCCCAGGATGTCCTCAAGTCGAGGGTGTTCCTGGCCTCCATCAGTCTTGTAAACGGGGGAAAGGATGGTCTTCCCGGACAGGTAGAGATCATTAAGGTCGGCAATGATAGGAGAGATGGTTCTTGAAAGTAAAATTGATTTGATCTTAGGTTCCGAGGGAAGAAAGACGGGGGAGGCAGATTCCCACAAACGGTGTCACTGATCTCGCGGTTGACCAGAACCTAGAGAGTGGCCAGAGGATGATCTTCAGTCGGACAGAGGAGAGATGGGGTTATACCTGCAAGGTACTCCAACGATCAAGTAAGAATGGGAGTAAGGAGGTACTAGCAGAATATCAGGTAGTGAGTGGTAAAAATGTGATACTTGGCCCTCACAGGTGTGAGGATTTATATAATGCCCCTGGCACGTGGCCATTGGTTCCTGATTTCCCGCCTAGATATGCGGATCCGGAAAATCAGATAACTGCCAGGACTTCGTCAAACCGGGGAGATGTGCTCGTAACTAGCCATTGGTTTCGGGGAGGAGACTGGTTGCGAACATCTCTCTGGTCGTCCCCTGGTGGTCTGCACGATGCTGATGTCGGGCAGACTGAGGAGATGCTCGATGGACATCATGGATCGGTGCTGGACCAGAAGGGCAAGAAGGTGATATTGCCCGACAGGTGCGGACAATCTAGATCACAGTCAGTGAACGGTACCCATGAAATATCTCAGACTGGTCTCAATCAAACTGTCGGGCCAGTCCCAAACAGTTCTGAATAAAATACCTAAAAAAATTCTTACAATTGAGATCAATTTTCACTTCACATTATTCACACACACTGTTTTCATCAAAAATAGTTTCTAATACTTATAGTAACATACACTAACATTCATCGATTTCTAACATCCATTGAAAACATTTTTTATCATTACACACAATTACTCACACAAGTCATCAAACAAATTCTCAACTATTAGATAGTCCCCTCATGTTTTTCTCATGATATAAAAATAAAAAAACCATTCAATTTCTATAAAAAAAATTTCAACACCAACATAACCTTTATCAATGTGTTTTTTAAAAATTTCATAGTATAAACCTCCCCACTTTCATAATCAAACAATAAACCTTGTAAACTTCTACATACTCACTTCATAAACCAACCATCAATCTTTAAACCATTCATCGCACTCTTATTAACAAAGTTTTGATATCATAACACCAAAAATCAATACACAAAATCATCATATTTTTTTAACAACAAATAGGAAAATATTAAAACCAAAGCACGGAAAAGAGGAAATAAGAACAACTTCCCAATGTTTCATTTGTTTTTTTTTCTCGAGTCTGTTACAGGTCGAAGAAAGCAAAAACAGAAGCCCACCGCCGGTTTGCCCGCAACCTCTGCAGCCATTCACAACAAATCCTCCGCTCACTATTGTGTGCCGTGGATTCTGCTCCACCACCGGTTCTCGAAGTGCCACCGCGAGTTGATTGGTATTTATCTTGTGTCAATTATTTTTGTTCTCTTTTGTGTCATTTCATAGAGTTTTTTTCTAAGAAAGAAGAAGGTAAAGAAAGTGAAGGGACGTGACGATGAAGAGAGAGGGAGAGTAATAGTGTGAATCTGTTTCTTCTTTTATCTATTAAATGTTAATATTTTATTTTTTTAAAAATAAAAAATAACATGCAACGTGTAACATGAATGATCATGTTAATTTGAAATGATGAGCTACACATCACGTGCAGCACCATCCACCAGGTTAGTAGGTTTTTAATTTTATTATTTGTTAAGTTATTAAAAATATAATTAGGTATATTTATTAGTTGGACTTGGACCCTAATCTCTATTCACACCCTATATGCTTTTAAAAACTCCTTTGTTTTTATTTCATTTACTTTTTTTATTAACTATTTAATTTAATTTTAATTAAGTTAGTTTTGATTAAGTGTCAATATAATTAATTCAAATATTTCTCAAATAAAATTAATTCAACAGTTTAAGAAGATGTTTATATTCACGCGATTAACCAAATACTTGATTCACGAGCGACATGTGGCCAATATATGGTCACGTAATGAGGAAGACTATATCAGACTCCCTCCATGTCTTTCATGACGAGCAACATGTGGTCAATATCTGGCCACATGATAAGGAGACTTTATCAGACTCCTCCGCTCTATGTCCTACCATACTCGTTATCAATTATACGCTCAAAATAGGTAATCAGTGATCAAACAGTTTTTCTACTAACATAATAAAATCCAAGACATTTTCAGAAAAAATGATTAAATAGAATTACTTTCAAAATTAAATGTGAACTGCATCTATGATCACTCAACTTACAACCCAGACAAGGTTCAAGGATAACTCGAAATCAATTTTATGCAATCCTATAAAAAAACACCAACCAACACTGCGAACTATGAATTGGGACTCTGGTTCCTCATAAGAGGATACGTAGGTATACGACTAAAAAACAGTGGCGAGTACCCTAACTAAAAATTAAAATCTTATTCCTAAACCTTAAACATAAACCCTAGTATCCTTGTGAACAAGGTAGATGACTGGTGCCTAACACCTTCCTTTCATCTAAAGTGAGTCAAGAACTTAGAATCTATGTATCATCAATTAGGGTTATTCCATTATATTCATGTCCTTAGGATAAAAATTAATGATGGTGACTCTATATTTTTTGCCGGTTACGACAGCGCCTACGATACAATAGTCAATGGCATATTGACTCTGTTCACCAAGATATATCAAAATTTAAATCAACTTGGGGATATCACAACCAGTAACAAACAACGTTGGGAAGTCGGTAACTTAAAAAACCCAATGGTTTAAAAGGAGAAACTCATGAGAAACATTTACAAAACACTTGGTGCATATACATACGAGACATTTGGTGCATATACATATGAAATACTTGGGTATCATGTCAATGACATCATCATTGGATATCATATCAATTTTGGGCAAATTACATATACATCATACATAGGATTTTCAAACTGCTTAGGCCAAGAATACTGCGACATGTCTTGGGGCCTATTACAAGCTAACTTATCTACGAGAACCAAAAGTTCAAACCTTACCTTTAGCAAAAAAATACATCGGTTGAGAACAGACACAACTGGTAGATTGGAACTTCACTAGGTGATATATCTGCAACTTATATCTTTGGTTAGTCATCTAAGATCCAATTATTAAACTCAATTTTAAACATCAAACTCGCATTATTTATCTCCTAGGTTGCGATAAATATGCAAGTCTACGATTTAGCTTACTATGTTAGTCTTGAAGCTTTAGTAAGTTATATGATTTTCAAACTCGTGTCATTGACCCCCTAGGTTGTGGTAGGTATGTGAAAATTTGCAATATGGTTCATCCTTTTAGTCTCTAAGCAACAATCAATTATCAAGTTTGTGGTATTTATCCTCTAGGTCGTGATAAATACGCAACTCTATGATATACCATACTATGTGAAATTCTGGTATGACAGAACTCATATGTCCTATGACATGATGGGACATCTGATCCGACTTAAACAAATAGGTAAGGTATAAACATACAAAACAATACGGAAAAGCATAAGAAACACACAAGAATTTTTAACCCAGTTCGGAGCAACTCTCCTACTCGGGGGGGGGGGGGGGGGGGCATACCAAGTCAGGGATAAGTCCACTAAAATAGTATCAATTCATAGACCCTCAACAAACCTCCAGTTTACAGCCTAATCACTTAATCACTACCCTTTCTATACTTCTATCTAAGACTCACCTATATATGAGGCCCTCCTCAATCCCTCTTCAATCACAGACAACGATTGGATCAAAACAATTCTGAACAAACGGGAAGACATACTTTTATGAAAATACCTAGCTAAGACCTAAAGCTAAACTCTATCATTTATAACTTTACTCATAACTAATAACACAACTTGGAGTTTCTTAAAATCTTCCTCCAAAAACAATACTCAAATCATTACCTACGAGTTTCTGAGAGAGAACACAATGACCATCTTACAACCCGAGTGGTTCACTTACACTAACTCTTCTATAGAGTGGCTACATACTCAGCCCTAATGATTACAAATTTTCAAAACATGACTAGTATATTCATAGGTTATAAAGACTACTATTTATATCCTATATCCCAATTGGACTTGGGCCTTCAATCACAACTCATTAGTTGTTACAATTCTGCAGAAGATTCTGCATAGCAATAGGTCTTTAATCAAATCTTCCTAATTTGTCTCCATAATTAGAAAGTACATATTATTCAATATTCTTATTGACCTATAAAACATCACCTCATATGATAATATAATATCCTTAAAAGATATTATGTTTTTGTGACTTAATAAAATATAACAGTCAGTTCAGCTTAGGCGTGATGTCGTATGCTCCTTCATAGGACATCTGATACGACATTTGGTTCTAGATGATAAGAACTTCTCATCTCAACATGTATCATCATAAGATATGACTTCTTAATCAACTTGTTCTTGTTAGCAAGTTAATACATCATATCTAACATAATGCTGCTATATTAGTTTTACCATAATGTCAATCACATAATTCAGAGGATTAACAATCTCTCCCTTTGAATACATAAAACAAAACATAATTCAAAGGTTTAAACAATACATCAGCAACAACCATAAAGACTAAAAACATTAGAAGCAACTAGTCTTTAGTCTTCACATTTGACAGTATTCAATCTTCAATCTTCATTGTCTTCACACATAATGTCACAACATAAACAATAGAACTTCTTCTTGACAGTCCAACAAATATTAAACCCCCCTTACATGCTGCACACATAAGCCCTTACATGCTTCACACATAAGCTTGGCACAAGAGAATCTTAACACATATTCTCTCCCCCTTTTTAGGGAGAATATGACAAAGGATTTTAAAAAGAGGTAACAACTACAGTCTAATTGATGTCAGAGTAATACACCTAACATCTATTCACATCAATTCTAAACATTTCCATTCTAGATTCAAAGGCTCAACCACCACAAACCACTCATTTTCATGTTCACCTGAACCAAACCATTACGGCCAACACAGGATGGTGTTAATCCCAAAACATTCCTCACAGGCTAAGTTCACTCCCCCTTAATCTAGAAACACTCCTCACAGGAGGCATAGAAACACATGACATAACTATGTTCGTAACTCACATCACAGGTCACAAATAACAAAACAACAAACTTAGAAAATAACAAACTATTTTACACCTTTGTGAAACTAGTTGGAAACAAAACTCAGACTTAATAGATGAACATAGATGAACACAACTTTTATCCTCCTTTTTTCCCAGAAATGGACAACTAAGACCCTCACATGACCAGACCCAAGATGTACTTATGCGCACCCAAATATAGGCCACAAGAAAAGAAGAAGGAGTAACTATAGCAAGATGAAAGAGGTGAAGAAATGTCCTCTTTTTAAATAACCAAGTAGTCTTCTTAGGAAATAACGATCTTGGTCAATGAGAACGTTATTTGAGGGAGATCACCAAGTACAAATGCATTGTCCAATACAGATTTTAATAATCTTCAAAATTCTAATACACGTGTGTGCACATACCAACATCACATTTTATACAACCTCCTAACGGCACCATCCACACTACTTCCTTGTTTGGCTCAAGGAGAGAACATGTATCGAAAAGGTGTCTTGACATCTACTCAGACATTGTCTTCTTTTAAAAAATTTAACCACACATCCTCAAATATCAGACCAAGATGCTTCACAAAAATACATTGTCCTCCACTGGTCTCTACATATATTCTCCCAGACACAAATCAAACTGCCCTTCAGACTCCTCCTAGGAACATGTGTGCAAATTATTCAAATAGCTAGCCTCACCTAGCTAAAACCAATTACCATTTAGCAGCCCCATGTCACGACATGTTGACTGACAACATAACCTCACCAGAGGAATATAATTTCCACAAGCTCCCAAGCTTCACAAGGTCTGAATCATTGCAGTCATAATCCATAGACAATCACTTGACTCCCCCTGTCATGGATAATCAATGCTCCAACTGAGGACAAACTTCACAAATTCTCAGTCAGCTTAAAAGCTTTACTGAGATCCAGGCAAACCAAAATCCTTCACGGGTTACATATAGCAGAAGAAAAACACTATAAAAAAATCTTGATCAGACCTCAATATTTGATACCCATTCCTCTGCCCTTACTTCAACTAGAAATTGTTGATACTAGTGAAGTATTCAAAATGATAGTAGTCATGCATTGTCAGAACATACTACTATACAAAAGATCAGAATCTGCACATTCTAACCCTCATAGTCCGAATTACCATTTATGTCAACCATGCTTAAGCATTTAACTTCATATGCTCAATTTCAAGCATATTCCAAAACATTCCCAACATGATGATACAACATCATTCAAAACAACAACTTTATAAACAAAACCTAACCACCAAGGTTCTTTAACACACAGTTAAATCGACTTTATTACACAGAGAACTCCTTTAGGAAGCTCCAAATACAACAAGAAGATCTCAAAGATCACACCTTCTGCAGCCCATTCAGGTTAATACAACCA